GTCAGTGACAGAGAGACATGCGCATCACTTTCGTTCCTTAGTTCTCAGGCTTTTTTGAATGGGATTATCAGCTCCGAACAAACGAGTGCTGAAGACAAACCGTAAATGGTATCTAAAAAATTCTTTCAGTCTAAGCGACAGCTATCCTTTGTCTCCAATTGGGGTAACTTTCATAGATGTAGCTCATTCACAACCTTAATGGGAAGGAGGAATAAAAAGGTTTGAGAAATCCTGCTGGTCTCATTGAATACCATGCAGCACAACGGTAGAGCAGAACTCTCAAAAGCAAAACTTTCCCTCCGAACAAACGAGCGGTGAGCCAAAACCGTATTAGGTATTCAAAAAATTCTTTCACCGTGAGTGTCAGCCATCTTTGGACTACAACTGGTGTAACTTTCATATTTCTACAATATTTCGTCTAGGCGTGGTGACAATGTAAAAAAGTGTATAATTGTCAAAATCTTGATTTTGGGGTTCGGACAGATTTGTTACCCCCGAACAAACCTTTTTCCTAGCTAAACGATAAAAGATATCGACACACTTCCTTCAATGTGAGTGCTAGGAAGCTCTGAGGAACAACTTCCACAAGGCTCGTGTTGCTACGTCGAACGGTTCCCGAATGGGAGCGATACGAAGAAGTCTGTTTTTTTGAATTTTCATTTCGGATTTTCAGAGATCTCTCATTGGATTTCTATTGGGGAAGTGTGGACTTCTTCGTGGTCTGGGTTAAACTGTCGGAAAACCGTAAATGCCACACAGATGAGGGTTACATTTCCTGAATCCTGACAAAAATCCCTACGTTTTGATGTAAAATTTATCTAGATAGAGTAAAAAATGAGCGAGTGAGTTGAAGCTGTTCGGCATGAGTGAAATGTTTGAAAACGCTAGAGTGGCACACTCTAGCAGCTGAACATTCCGTCCATAGACTTCCATTATAAATTTGAAAATTTGTAAAAATTGTTTAAAAGTTTGAAGCTTCACTGAAGCAAAACTGTAAAAGTTAGCTGAAAGCCGAGTTAAACAGTAATAGCAGAAAGATACAGATACATTTTAAAAGTTGAATGGTGTTTCTAGACGAAAGTATGCTGAAGTAGTTAAAGGGCAAAGTAGCTGAAGATTTAGTGGAATTTTTGAAGTTTTACATGCATTTCAATGGGGCCAAAAAAACGCAGAAAAAGCTGAATATCGCGAAAACTACAAAAAATATCTTAACCAAAAGACATAGCAGAATTCTCCTGAACGAGCTGAACGTTTTGATACCAAAATGGTTGAAATCGGTTGAAAACTGTGGGACTAGTTAGAGTCAGAAAAATTAAAAGTGAACAACAATAAGTGGGAATGCATAAGCATTCCCACTTGATAAATAAAAAGAGGATCTCAATAGTGTGAATGCCTACAGCATTCACACAATGAGCAACGACAAATAATTTAAAGGTTTTAAACTTTCAGTCCTTCACAAGTACAAAAGATCCTTAAAGGTAAAGGGGATGATCTTTTATTTCCAGGTGGATCATTTGAATAATTGGTCCGCCTAATTGTCAATCATTCTGGTGATATGTTCAGGTAAGGCCATCCTATGTGCTTGTCCTGTTAGCTACCGTTTTTCTGTGCATGCGCACTTTCAGGCATATATCTGTGGTGAGTCACAGTATCAGACAGTCATTGAAGCTCACCTTTCTTACCACGGTTCTTTGAAAATGGACTCGTGCATGCCCTTGCACACCCATTTTTTCTTAAAGTGGAAAGGGCATGTCTTTTAAAATATTAGAGAAAATCCTCCATAATACCTTTAAATTGCAATCTGTTCCAAAGGAGCTCAAAACTCCCCCAACATGGCATAGTGTTTGCAGCCCATTTTTCAAACTCCCTTAAAAAGTTTCAACCCACTGGACCTGAACTGGCCTAAGACACAAACATTATAAGGGTTGATTATAGAAATAACATGCTCTGAGAATGATTGACTTGTATAACAAATCAACCAGTTTTTGAAACTTGAATATTATGGAAATCAAATTATTTTCCTGAATTATGGCTGTATAAAAGTATGGAGAGCCATTTCCGCCAAAATTAAATAAATAAATAAATGTGTGAAATAAATAAAAAACGAAAAGCAGTCTAGAAATGGCGAACACAGAGGGTGCAGCACGTTCTGTATCGGTTCTTCTTAGGGAAGCTGCCGATCGAATAGATGAACTAGAACGCTGTAAGTTTAATATCCGACGTGATTTATGGGAGATTGCTTTTCGGAGGGAAAGTCCACAGGAACTGAGCGCTGCAGTTGCATCTAACCAACCAATAGGCTGCCATTGTAGCCTGAAGACACCGCCTCTCATTATCATATTAAAGCAGAAGCGAAGAGGGGAAAATAGAATGTGACAAATAAAAAAATAAGGAAATACTTAATGAATAAGGGAAATTGGAAAATGGGAAAATTAGAAAAATTTCAAACAAATGGTAAATGAAAAATAGATAAAAGAAAAATTGGTAAATAAAAAAGGGATATATGAGAAATTGATTAATGAAACCGGGAAATAGGAAATCGGGTTAATGGAAAAAGGAAATTGAACAGTGGTTAAATTAAAAGATAGATTAATGAAAAATGGGTAAATAGATAAAGAGATTAATGAAAAATGGGTAAATGAAAAATAGATAAAAGAAAATGGGTAAGTAAAAAAAGGGATGTATGAGAAATTGATTAATGAAACTGGGAAATAGAAAATCGGGTTAATGGAAAAAGGAAATTGAAAAATGGTTAAATAAAAAAATAGATTAATGAAAAATGGGTAAATAAATAAAGGGATAAATGAAAAATGGACAAATGAAAAATAGATAAAACAGAAATTGAGAAATATATAATCTGAAAAATAAATAAATAAAAAAATTGGCTTAATGAAAAAGGGAAATTGAAAAGTGGTTAAATGAAAATTAGATTAATGAAAAAATGGGTAAATGGATAAAGGGATAAATGACAAATAGATAAATGAAAAAGAGAAATTGGGAAATTGATAATATGAAAAATAAATAAATTAAACATTGGTTTAATGAAAAAGCTAAATTATTTATTTAACAAATTTTTTATTTATTTCACTCATTTTCTTCATTTTTTGATTTCTTTTACTCATTTTTTATTTATTTCACCCATTTATTTATTTATTTAATTTTGGCTGAAATGGCTCTCCATATAAAAAGGACCAGTTTCTGTTAAAAAAAAAAAAAAAAACAGGTGAATAATCTAGACTGACAGGAGAGCATGCAGTTGTTCAGCAGCACAGTAAAGTTGATTGTGACCCATTTTTTTCACATGGGAACTAAAGAAAAGAATTCAAATACTTTTTGGGTTTAAACAAAGTTTACTAAAAGCAAAAGAAGCCATACAGAAGGTTTCCATAGACTGTAGATGCAGAGCAACAGGCAGATACAGCTGAGGAGCCCATTCAGATGTAACTTTAAAAAATTAAAAAAAATTGCAAGATTTTCAGGTTTGTAAAACAACCAAATATTAATCTGCAAAAGTAACCTTAGCTTATTGCATTTGTTAGCATAACGGCTGTTAATTGTAAAGTTTTTAATAAAGCTAGGAATCATTACCTTTTCTTAATTTGATGAATTACTCTTCCCCTCAGATTTTTCCACAGTTAATCTCTCTTCTCTCACAAAATATAATCTGCCAACATGCATTGCCTACAGTAATATGTAAAAAATACTGTAATATAACATAAAAGTTTTCCTAATGAAGAGATTAAATATGCAAATAGGTATAAACTCCTGAATTTGCTCCTGATTTGATTAAACAGTAAATAAAATAGAAAAAAATCCTCATGAAGCTAAAAGCTAAATGCAGGAGAAGCTCACAATATATTTTCCTTTAATCACTTCTCAGAATCAGTTGCACGAAGATGACCTTCTTGTCTATTAGTTCTCATCAACCTTGTCCTGATCCTTGATAGAAGCTTGTTGAGGAAGGACGTATTCTGCTGAAGGTTCCCCTAAAATAAACATACAGCATCTTTAATCTCATCTTAGAGTGTTTTAAATCTTTCAGCAGCTCATACTGCACCTTGTTCAGCATCTGTAGAGCCTCTCATGGGTTCATACTCTGAAGCATCATCTGTAATATTGAAGAAGTAAACTGTTACTCATCTCATTCATGAGTGTTTATGGATTTGTCTAAAAATGAGCAAGATAGAAACCTGACCAGCAGCAGGTGAGGAGTGGGGATGCTGCTGACTCTCATCCTGGTCGACTGCTGCAGGATGTTTGAGCCTGGAGTGAATAAAGATGCTTATTAGCAACAAAAATGTTATTTTATGAAAGCATATATATTTTCAACTGAAATAGTAAAACTTACTTAAAACATACTTCTGTGGAAAAGAAAATAACAAACATGTTTAAAGTAAATAAATTATTTCTTCATTTGAACCAATGATCAAATTTCAAATAGTATATCTCACCCTTTGAATTTGTGAAGTGAAGCAGCCAGACCAAGAATAGAATAACGAGAACTCCGAAAAATAGTGTAAGCCACATGATGATGCTAGAAGAGCCAGGACCTGCAACAGAGGGAGAGTTAAAACCAATGGGGTCAAAAGAACACACATTTGTTACTTAAGTAGAAGTATAGATACTGCAGTTTAAAAACACTCTGGTATAAGCTGAAGTATCAACTTGACCTCTTTACTCAAGTAAAAGTGAAAAAGTATGTGCTCAAAAAACTACTTAAAGTATAAAAGTATAAAGTAACCTTTAAAAAAACAGCCAGATGCCACTATATGAATTGAAAGTTCAATTTTACAACTATTTCTAAAAATTCTTTGAGATAGGGCGAAGGATGAGGGAGGTCTTGTTGGTCTCCGTCTCCCGATACGCTCTCGCCTGTGTCCGACCTTTCAGACATTTCAACATCTTTTTCTGAATCCTACATTGTAGCATGGCATAGACAATTCATGTTTGCAGTTTGAAGAACACCTGCTTGCTTCTGATAATTTTCTTTAGCTAACCAATGAGTTTTTGTGTTATATGACTCATCCAATTACACTAGTTTTCACTAGATGTGGATGGAGCCAATGATCTGCATTGGATGGCGCACATGAAGTGAAATAAATATTTATAAACATTAAACCGAAGCCAAGAGTAACAAGTAACTTTTGTTTTAAAAATGTAAGGAATAGAAAATACAGATACTTGTGTGAAAATGTAATGAGTAGAAGTCAGAAGTAGGAAGAAAAATAAGTAATGGAGTAAAGTATAGATACCTAACAACTGTACTTAAGTACAGTAACGAAGTATTTGTACTTCGTTATTTGACAGCTCTGGTTAAAAGCATTAGGCGACAGTGGGCCAGATCTTCATCTGGAGTCACATGTTTACATTCAGTTCAACTTTTACTGCAGCCTCCATTATATCCAACATTTAAGAGCTAAATCATTGTCATTATATCCCTTCTTCTCAGAACTTCATTGGTTGTTGACTTGATTATTTTTAATTCTGTCCCAAACTTCATATTCTATACTTGATCAAACTGATGTATATTTATTTACCAATAGGCTCTTGATTCACCAGCAGGTCAAACATAATGTGTTCATTGAACCACAAGGATTCATGTTTCTGAACATACCTTTGTTAGAGAGGCTGTCAGTGTTTCTACACCTCAATGTTTCTGATGCTGACATCTCACTGACAGCATTAGAGGCATTGCAGGTGACTGTTGTGTCTCCATCTTGTGGTGTGATGTGGTAATGCAGCTTGGGGCCTTCATGTGTTTGGTTTCCTACAGTCAGGATGTAGTTGGTGTTTCTGTGAGGAGCTGCTCTGCATTCCAGATAAACTGTGCAGGATCCATTTAAGTCAGGCTCACTGATGTTATAAACCAGTTTGGGCTTCGTAGATATTGGCTCTGATGTGAGAACAGAGAGAGAAGGAGAGTGACGGCTCAGCATTAGTCTGTATAAAGGAAATGACACAATCAACCAAGTAAAGCTCAGTGTTGCACAGATCTGCTCATTATTTCAGATGGAGGTGCATGAACAGACATTTGTGTGTGCACATACACACACACACATTTCAGTGTGCCACTCTGTAGCACTTCTCAGCAGGTGAAAGAAACCTGGCCCAATCAGCAGCACCCTCAACTCAGGTAATAAGGAATCCACAAACAGCTTTACTGGTTTTGCAACAGAGCTGAGGAAGGCAAACACAGCCTCCAAAGCAGCATTTCATGGGAAAGGACTTAAAAGGACTACCGGTAAGCCATTAACTGGGCTCAATTGATTGCAATTTAACTGTAGTTTCAGATTAGAGAAATTAAATGCAGAATTTATTGAAGTAAAAGTTTGCACTGCTAGTTTTACAGTTTGGTTCCACTAAATGTATCTTAAGAAGTCTACTGTAAAAACTTATGTCCTAAGAAAAAGAAAAAAAATGTCATTTTAAAATGTTTGGTTTTGTTTGGTTCAAATCCAGCCAGATATGGAATTTAATAATTTAACACTTGAATTTATGGTTAAAATCATAAAAGAAATGTATGTTTAAGGTTAAAAATTGAATTAGTCATTAAGATAATCATTAACTTTGAACTAAATGTCTAAAATGTATGTTAAAGTATTTTGTATGTGTTTTGTAGGTTTTTCACCTGCTCTGCTCTATTCTGTTTATTGGTTCTCACTCATTGGTGAAAATAAAAAGACTGAGTGAATTCCTGAAGTCTTCAAGTCCTCCTTTTCAAGTGTAGGAAGCCATGAAATTATAGGACACTTGACAGTGAAAAACCGCTCCAACTAGAGGAGATTCCATTCTGCAACCAGAGACTGAAATCTGCTCTCTTCCAAAGGAGGAAAATGGCTGAATTAAAATCCGTTGATGACCTCAAAGCAGAGAGGACAATAGTTAAAAGACTTTTTCCCGTTTTGCAAATAAGATTATGAGGACCTACATGGAGATGTCTAAAGAGGAATTGGAGGAGAACTACAAGAAGCTTACACAAGAGAGCTCCAAAGTTATGGAGGCAAATGAGGATGTGGAGGCTGCCTATATGGCTGAGTGCAAAGCAACTGCAGCTGAGGAGCTGAGTAATCTTCAGAAAGCTGACATAGAGAAGACGGAGAAAGAATGTGAACAAAAGCTTAAAGAAGCTAAACTCCTTATCCGAGAGACAATGTGGGCCACATATGGAGAGAAGGAACTGTCCCTGGCTCTACAAGTTGCAGAGAATGAGTGCAAGAATGTTTCATCCATCGGGCCAGACACAACTCTGGAGGCATACGAGTTTATGCTCACCCATTTGGAGAAATTGATCCAGAAAGCAAAGGAAGCAAACCAAAATTGGAACCGTTGGGCCCCACCTGCTGAGGAAAAGGATTTTAATTATTGTGTAAGGGAGCTAGAGGTGTGCCTCCCTAGGCTGATATCCCAAAAGGCTGTCTTCATTGAAGCAGCAAGTAAGAAGGACACAAGAGAGGAAAAAGCCTTAGTCTACAGTCTACCTCCAGCAGCTGCAATAAAACTGAAAGCCACAGCTTTACCAAAGTTTTGTGGAAGTAAACAAGACTATTACAGATGGAGAAAAGAATGGGAGGCTCTCCAGAAGCAAGGTGAACCATCTGGTTCGAAAGAAGTAAAGAAGTTTCAATTGCTTGATAGTATTGATGAGAAAGTGGCTAAGGATTTACGCCTGTCATCATACAATTCATCAGATGAGATCTTCAGAGTCCTGGACAATCGTTTTGGGAACAAACCTACCATTGCTCTAGAGATTATTGAAGAATTACAAGCAGTTCCACCAGTGAGAAATGGTCAACCTAGACGAATAATAGAACTCATCCAAACTTTGGAGAAGGCTCTTAGTGACTTAAATGAGCTAGGAAATGTGGATGCCATAAAGAATCCACTGGTGACTAAATCCATAGAGAGTAAGCTTCCAGAAACTTTAAAGAAAGACTGGCTCACCTATAATGCAACTGAGAAAGACAACACTAGTCACCAGAATTAATTTGACAAGCTTATGGTGTTCCTTAGATCACAAGAATCCATATATGAACAACTAGATCAACTGAAAGATCTCGTTGAACCAATCAGAGAGAAATCCAAGTTCTTAAAATGTGCCAGAACCAAGGCAACCAAGCACAGCAGTGACATATCAGGCTGCATTGTTTGTGGTGATCCAAAGCACAGGAAGAAACTGTATTTCTGCAGAACCTTTAGAATCAATCTAAAGCCATCAGAGAAGAGGGATATGGTACAGCAGCTCGGTGCCTGCAAGAGATGCCTTGAAATCCATAATGGTGATTACTGTAAGAAAACTGACTACCTGTGCAAGAACCCAGAGTGTAAAGACAAACACCAATTTCTTCTTTGTTTACTCGCTAGACCACAGTCCCAAAGAACACCTAAATCTGGTTCAGAGAAAGCGGAGGTCAAAAGACATACTGAAGCCCAAGAAGAGTTTCTTTCAAAACTCCCACCTGAGCTGGCTAAGCAATGTAAAGATGCCTTCTGCAATGTTGTGTCAAGGGCGCACAACTCCACTGTTATTAAGACAGGCCTTCTAGAGGAGAATGGCTTAAATGAGTATCCAGTTATCCTGATGATTCTTAACGTCACAGCCAATGATGGACAAAGAATTGGAACCCTCATTGACCTGGCATCAGATACGAACTACATTATTCATAAAGCTGCAAGTAAGTTGAAACTTAGAAGTGAAGATGTAACGCTTGTGGTCCATGGTGTTGGAGGGATGCAGGTGTCTGTTGAAACGAAGCGCTATCTCCTTAAGATACGTGTCAATACACCAAAAGGGACCCTCAAATCACATCAACTGATCTGCTATGGGCTTGACAAGATTGCAGAAGTTCATAGACATGTCCCTGCCACAAAGTTTCAGAGTATTTTTCCAGATGTCTCCTTGAAAGACCTTACAAGACCTAAAGAGATACAGCTCCTGATTAGCCACAAAGAAGGTCAACTTGTACCTCAGAAAGTTCGTTCTGTCGGGGACCTAGTGTTATGGGATGGACCACTTGGCAAGACGATTGGAGGCACACATCCGGACCTCTTTGAAGAAGTTACCTTAATGGCCCATACATCAGAAACACACTTTGCAAGATCAATGAGGACTGCAGCAGTCAAGTACAGTGAACTCACCTCCCAATCTTCAGTTTCCTGTCAGTCTCCCAGTAATCCTTTCATCCAATCCAATGCAGCCACTACGAGCAAAGACTTTCTGAAGTGGTGGGAATGGGAAAGCATCGGAGCAGCCTGTGTGCCAAAATGTGGAGGATGTCGCTGCGGGAATTGCCAACCCGGAGGGAAGGATATGTCTTTGGCTGAGGAGAAAGAGATGGAGATGGTGAGAAATAGCTTAACATATGTGAATGGTGACCACCACACCCCTGAACCACACTGGCATGCCACATATCCATGGACTGAAGATTTGGCTTCTCTCCCCAACAATAGGAAAGCAGTAGAAGCTACATTCCTCAGGACGGAAGAACAGTTGGCAAAGGATCCAGAGTGGAGATTGGCCTATGCTTCACAAGTCCATGAGATGGTCAATCGCAAAGCTGCAGTGAAACTGTCCAAAGAAGTACTGCAAAGCTGGACTGGGCCAGTGTGGTATATAAGTCATCTGATTGCCCTAAATCCACATTCCATATCTACTCCGGTGAGGCTACTGTGGAACAACAGCCAGAAGTACAGAGGTCTGAGTTTGAATGACATGTTGATTAAAGGTCCTGATGTCTTAAATCCGATCAGAGCTGTCCTCCTGAGGTTCCGAGCTGGTGTCTTTGCTGCCCTTGGTGACATCCAAAAAATGTACAACTCTGTGTGGTTAGAAGAGAAAGAGGTTAATCTGCACAGGTTTCTGTGGCGTGACAGTGAGGATGCTGAAATAGAGGATTTTGCCATAACAAGGGTCAATATCGGAGATAAACCTGCTGGCTGTATAGCACAAGTTGCCATGCGGGAGACTGCCAGCCTACCCCAATTCACACAATTCAAAGAGGAGAAACGTGTGCTGGAAGAAGACGTCTACGTCGATGACATCTTGACATCTCACAACAACCTTGATCACCTGAAACTCCTCACATCCAACATCGAGCAGATCCTTAAAGCTGGAGGATTTTTTTATGAAGCCCTGGGTCTACTCTAGTCAAAGTGGGAGGCAGGAGTCAAGAGAAGTTAACACGGAGGTAAAGACCATGATCTTGCCTAACCAGCTCACTGAAAAAGATAACAAAGCCCTCGGTCTGGGTTACACCGTTGGAGATGACAAGTTGTATGTCATGGTTGCAGTGAACTTTTCCAAAAGGAAGAAGAAAATACGCATTGGTCAGGACCTGCTAAGAGAAGAAGTAAAGGGACAAACGCCAAATCCTCTTACCAGGAGAGAACTGTTAAGTCAAGTCTCTGCTCTCTATGATCCACTTGGCCTTGTGACTCCTGTAAAGCAGAAAGGAGCTATTCTGGTTCGAAGGGCTTTTCAAGAAACAAAGCTAATGTATTGCACAAAAGACTCATGGGATGCTGCACTGTCAAAAGAACTACGAGAGGATGCCATAAAGCTGCTAGAAGAATATGCTGACCTGAGCCAACTCAGATTCTTCAGATCCTTGACACCACCAGAGCCACATGCAGGTCCAATTGGCATAACATTTTCTGATGGCAGTGAGCATGCATATGGTGCTGTGTTGTACCTACGTTGGGAATGCACTGATGGTGTCAGTGTGAGGTTGGTTGAGTCTAAAGCCAAGTTGACTCCTCTCAACCGCAATGGAGACCCCGTGAAAGCTGAGATATGCGGAGCAGTCTTTGCAGCCCGGCTAAAGACATATTTCCAGAAACATTGCCGAATCAAAGTTGAGAAGTGGTTCCATCTCGTTGCCAGTCAAACTGTCTTGTGTGCAATACAGCGAGAGAGTTATGGATATCAGACCTTCTTCGCCAACTGGGTTGGAGAGATCCAAAGCAGCACTAATGTCCAAGACTGGTGGTGGATTCCAGGATCAGCAAATATTGCAGATATTATCACCAGAGGGGCAGGTCCTGCTTACTTAACCGAAGACTCAGAGTGGCAGTTGGGTCCAAGTTTCCTTCAACTTCCTGAAATTGAGTGGCCAAAGAAATCTGCAAATGATGTTGCTGTGCAGGCAAGAGACAATGTTATAAAAATACAGAAGAAAACATTTGTTGCTGTACTTACCCAAAGTCAACTGAAAGAAGAAAATCCAATCAGAGTCCAGAGTAAACTGATCATCTCTAGGAGGCCGCCTGCAGCTGCAGTAGCCCAGCAACTAGTGGACGTGAGCCACTTCAGCAGTTTGAGAAAACTGATAGGGGTAGTTGCATGGATTTGGAGAGCAGCAAAAAAGTTCCTGCATTTCAAGGTCACAGATAAAGAAAAGTGGGAGGCGGTCCCTTCATCTGGTGTCATTACAGTTGGCGAAAGAGAAGATGTGTTCAGAGACCTATGCCTGGCTGCACAAGAAGGTGTACAATTTCCAACTATAACGACTGATAGACTTGTTGTCTACAAAGATGAAACAAGTGGGCTCTTGATGTGTGGCGGCAGAGTTCAGACTTTTAAGGAGGACCACAGAGCCGTTCCTCTGTTGCCCTTCCAATCTTGGATCTCCACCCTTCTTGCCCGAGCAGCACACAGTGAAGGACATGATGGAGTGGCAGGAACTTTGCTGCGTATGCGGAAGAAAGCATGGGTCATCAGAGGACGAGTCATTGCCAGAAAAGTTGTTGATGAGTGTGTACTGTGCAAAAAGATGAGAGCAAAAACCTGTCAGCAAATAATGGGGGATCTGCCTGAAGAAAGGTCTAGTCCAAGTGCACCATTTCAGTTCATTTCTGTTGATTTGTTTGGCCCTTACCAAGTGAAAGATGACGTCAAGAAAAGAGTGAGCATGAAAGTTTGGGGTGTGTTGTTCTGCTGTATGTCAAGTAGAGCCATTCATGTTGAAGTGGCAAACACGCTATCTACAGAGAGCTTCATACTTGCCTATCAGAGGTTTACGTCCATCAGAGGTCATCCCCAGAAGGTGTGGTCTGACCCAGGTACGAACTTTATTGGGGCAAAACCCATTCTGCAAGAAATGTATGCATACCTGAGGCAGCAAGACAAATTCTCACTTGAAGAGTATGCTGCAAAAAATGGGACTGACTGGATATGGAAAATTCTTCCAGCCGATTCACCACATCGCAACGGTGCAGCTGAAGCTGCTGTCAAGATCATTAAAAGAGCGTTCCAAAGTCTTGGCAGAGTGGAAGGTCTTACCTTCAGTGAGTTTCTTACGACAGTTAAGCTAGCTGCCAATCTAGCCAATGAAAGACCTATCGATGCTAGAGTACAGAGTCATGAAGATCGAATCCAGTACATCACTCCAAACACCCTGTTGCTCGGTCGAGCTACACAAAGTGGAGATTTCAAGACATTTGACTATACCACTTATCCCTTTAAAAGGCTGCAAGAAATACAAACTCAAGTTGACTACTTTTGGAGGTCCTGGAGTTAACTTGCAGGTCCCAACTTGTTTGTCCGTGGCAAGTGGCATACTGCTGAAAGAAATGTTGCTATTGGCGATGTGGTCTGGCTCTGTGACCAAAACACGCTAAGAGGGCAATTCAAGATGGGTAGAGTTGTTGCTGTGAATCCTGATTGCAAGGGCATAGTCCGGGATGTTTATGTGAAAGTTTCTCCAAGTGGGTATAGTTCAGGAAATGCACCCAAACCTTCTGTGAAATGTTCTGGATTGGTGAAGGAGGTTCAGGGCACCATACTCCATCGGGACGTCCGGCGCCTTGTAGTGCTCATCCCAGCAGAAGACCAAGCTGAGGGAACCAGCTTACTTAAAAAATGCGATCTTCCCAGGTAAAACCTTGCAAGATCGAGTGGGAGGTGTTGCGCAGATCTGCTCATTAGTTCAGATGGAGGTGCATGAACAGACATTTGTGTGTGCACATACACACACACATTTCAGTGTGCCACTCTGCAGCACTTCTCAGCAGGTGAAAGAAATCTGGCCCAATCAGCAGCACCCTCAACTCAGGTAATAAGGAATCCACAAACAGCTTTACTGGTTTTGCAACAGAGCTGAGGAAGGCAAACACAGCCTCCAAAGCAGCATTTCATGGAAAAGGACTTTAAAGGACTACCGGTAAGCCATTAACTGGGCTCAATTGATTGCAATTTAACTGTAGTTTCAGATCAGAGAAATTAAATGCAGAATTTATTGAAGTAAATGTTTGCACTGCTAGTTTTACAGTTTGGTTCCACTAAATGTATCTTAAGAATTCTAATGTTAAAACTTATGTCCTAAGAAAAAAAAATGTAATTCTAAAATGTTTGGTTTTGTTTGGTTCAAATCCAGCCAGATATGGAATTTAATAATTTAACACTTGAATTTATGGTTAAAATCATAAAAGAAATGTATGTTTAAGGTTAAAAATTTAATTAGTCATTAAGATAATTATTAACCTTGAACTAAATGTCTAAAATGTATGTTAAAGTATTTTGTATGTGTTTTGTAGGTTTTTCACCTGCTCTGCTCTATTCTGTTTATTGGTTCTCACTCATTGGTGAAAATAAAAAGACTGAGTGAATTCCTGAAGTCTTCAAGTCCTCCTTTTCAAGTGTAGGAAGCCATGAAATTATAGGACACTTGACACTCAGACTATGAACTGATCAACTTTATTACAGTTTTTCTACTCAAACTCAGTTATCCTGGTTTTCAGGGTGCAAATTTAAACCTCATAATAAACAAAGCAACCAGAATGAAAACATCAGTATAAAATCATTAGAAACGATAAAAGATGTTAGGATTACAGTTTGTTGCTATTTTGTTGAATGAAAATAATTCACTCTGCTGAAACTGTTCCCATGTTTCATTTAAGGTAATTTAAATACAATTCAAAGTGATCCAAAGGTTAATAACTGAAAACATTGTTTTTAGCTTGTTTTTCTCACATTAAACAGCTGCTGTATGAAAATAATCAGCTTTAGGATTGGACAGTAATAAAAATTACTCATCTACTTTTTATGATGTTTTGTCAAACATGGTCAGTTTCTGAATAAACTGCATAAATGGGTTAAAAACATACCGGTAATGTTTTTATATTTCTCTGAAAAGTAGTGATTAAAACCATCTTCTTACCATGAACCTGCAGAGTGATGATGACTGTAGATCTTTGTTGGCCATTGGCCTCTGAGAGGAAACTGAAATCTCCAGAATCTTGAAGGGTCAGTTCTCTCACTGTTAAACTAAAGCTCACATCATTGAACTCCACTCTGTCCAGAAATGGATTGTTTGCAGTAACACCTGAACCTTGAACTGCAACTACTGAGTTTCCATGTCTCCATCTTGCACTGCTGACTCCTTCAGTTGGTAAATTGGATGAAAGCTCCACTGAGTCTCCAACTTTTCTATCAATGACTTGTTTTCCTCCTGAAGCCTCCACATCTGAAACACATTATAAACAACAGTCTGTAATCATTATAGAGAATCATTATTTATTTAGATAAACATGAAGATATAACTGGAACCAATGACTAAATGCAAAAATACCATCCAGTTGTTATCTGTAAACTTTAATTAGTAACAATAGTTATAATTAATCAGATAGAAAACATCTGATCACTCAGCTTGTAGAATATCTATATTGTACATAAAATGCTTGAAGAGAGATGAAGATATAAGATCTAGGTTAGAGTTTCTAGGCCGTCACATTACACAGACTGCCTTCAGGTTGAGTTCATCACCTTTGCTCAGAGTTCATTTCTGCTTTAAGATCGTCCAAAGAACAACCATCAGGTTTTATAACCTGATCTGTCTCCATTTACCATCACTGACAGTGTCAACATATCAGAGTATTATACTATAAATACTAATCATTTATGGTATAACTACATGTTTTAGGTTGAATTTAAACTGAGGAAGTGAATTTAAGAAGGAAGAATCCTGATAATCTCTGTGTTCTTTTATGCAAAAAAATATATCTGGTAAAATTAAAACATTAATCTTTGTTGTGAACTTGCATGTGTTTGAAAATTAGTTCTTGTAATTTATTCAGATTAAATCTATTATATTTTAATTTAAGAAGCAATCGAACGTACCATAAAGGCAGAGGCCTAGAAGGAGATGAAGGAGCCCCTCAGACAGCAGAGGGAACCACTGAAGAGCCTCTGTGAGAGAAGATTATCTTAATCCTCTGCTGCTCCTCAGACTAGACCTGAGACACAGAGAAGGAAGATGTTCTGAGCTGCTCTTTAGTTTTATAGAAAAAAAAAAGTCTGCAACAACATGCAGATTAGATTAATAGATAAACCTGGGATTATTGTTTGATTTTTTTTAAAGCACCACAATTAAAAACTTATGAGCCAGTGAGTTTTTATATTACTGAGGACAAATAGTAAATGGCCTTTAATTATATTGTGCTTTGATTAAGTCATAGGACTTGATCAAAGCACTTTATACTACATTCAGTCATTCACCAATTCACACTCACATTGATAGTGGCAAATTACATTGTAGCCACAGCTGCCCTGGGCTCACTGACAGAAGCAAACCTGCCATGAACCTCTGCCAACGGGCCCTCTGACCACAATCAGTAGGGAATGCAGGTGAAGTGTCCTGCCCAAGGACACAATTACACTGAAAGCTGGAGCCAGGGCTTGAACCGACAACCCTCTAGTTGCAGGGCAAACTTCTTTTTTAAACGCCACTGTTGCCCCAGAATTTCATCGTTTGACAAACAGTCAAATTTTCAATACTCAGCCTTTGGATCTGATTTAACCACACATTATTTTTACTCTGAAAATTTCATTTGTTTTGTTTTTAGTAAAAAAAATAACATCTGTCACATTTCTCACCAACCCTGACCTCAAATTCTAACTTTTGCTATGATCTGGCCTGTTTGCTCTCCCTAATTAGTAATTCCTCTCACCTGCCGTTTTCCCTCCCTGTCTCAATTATAATTTATTCCCCTCACCTGTTTCCTCTGGTTTATATTCAGTTCAGCCTGAGCATTCAGTGCCAGATCATTGCTTGTCTTTCTGTCAGTCTTTCTGTTCAGTTTTATTTGGTTCATGTCCTGGATCCTAGCTGCCAGTGGAAAGAGGGTTTTTGTGTTTGTCTTGTCTCCTGATCGTCCACTGTTCCTCCCCTGTGGAGTCCTCTGGGTTTTTGGCTCATTATGTGGGGAGGTTCAGTTTTTATTAGTGATGGTGTGATGAAGCCTTGTGACAAAGTGGGTTAGAACACCATTTGTCTCAGTTTATACATTTGTTATTTTGTTTGCTTGATTTAACCATCTCTTTATTCTGTAGTTTGCATTCATATACTATCCCGGGTTTGTTTATGTTTGCATTTTTACAGATAATTTAGTATAACATCTTGGTTTAAATCAGGTGATAACTTTTCAAGGTTTTGTTTGATTATGTAACTTTTGTGTTTTTTTGGTGAACTTACCTTACCTGTCTTTCAGGAGGAAGTGTGACCTCACTTCCTGCAATTAGAGACTCCTGTGTAAAGCTGTGGTCACAGGAAGATACCAGAGGAAGAGGGGGGGATGGAAATCCTTTTACATTTTGTTGTAAACAATTTGAGACCTTGCCAATGTTTTGTGTAGATTTAATTGTATGGTGTTTATTCTGAACATTTTGCTTAAAGTTATTCTATGTAACACAAGCTAGGTAGAGAGTAAATAGAGTAGCTACATTTGTTAATGGAAGAGTCCATTGGAGGCCATTTTGTGTTTCAGACCAAACGGGTATAAGACAGAGTTGTGTGAGGTTCAGAACAGAGAGGAACCAGGTCAGTGTAGCTGGGTGCACTTGACATTAATTATGGTTGATTTAAGTTCAGTTAATGTTCTGTTGAGCCATGTTAAACCTCTAAGTTATTTTTTTTGGAAATTTCTTTTGTAAATACTTTTTGTTGCAATGTAAATAAACCACCTGCTACATTGGACATCTGCCTACTGCCTTCTTCAGCCACTTGGCCAGGCTATCTCACATTTGGTGGCAGCGGTGACTCCCAGGCCAATTAAGAGGCAGTGAAGATGTCAACCGGGTCAAAGAGAGGCTTGGTTCCAGAAGATGAAGCTGGAGAATTTGAAGAAGCCAGTGACCAACAAGGGGCAGTAAGTGGCTATGTTACCAGACAAGAAAATGTGGCTGAACTAACAAGGCTTTTGCAATCCTTGATGCAACAACAGGCTGAACGTGATGTCAAATTGGAGCAGGAGTGTCAGCGGCAGGAAGACAGATGGAGGCAAATCCGGCATCAGTTTTCCCAGCTTCAACAGCAGGTGCATCAGGAGAAGATCGACAATCAGCAACTACGGGTGGTTCTAGCTTCTACTGCTGCTCAATCAGGAGGACCTACTACCGACATTGAACATTATCTATCCACCTTTGAAAGAATTGCACATGCCTGCCAGTGGCCTCAGGATGAGTGGGCCCTTCACCTAGCACCACTGCTAACTGGTAAAGCTCGTTCGGCATATGTAGCCATGGATATTGATGACACTATGGACTGTGCAAAAGTGAAGTGTGCTGTTTTGCAGAAGTTTGAAATAAGTGAGGACACCTATCGAAGGAGGTTTTGTTCCTGTACCATTGGAGAAGAAGAAACCCCAAAGGAACTGCAGGTCCAGCTCAAGGACTGGTACATCAAATGGATGAAGCCTGAAACAAAGACAAAGGAACAAATCGGAGATGCTATCATCTTGGAACAGTTTCTTGAGGTACTGAATCCTGATGTTCGGACGTGGATTAAAGAGCACAATCCAAAGACTTCCAAGGAAGCAGCAGAACTGGCTGAAGCCTTCTTGTCAGCACGTCGACCATCGAAAGACTTCATTAAAGCTAAGTCACTTCCGTACTTTCCTGCAAACAAGTCATCTGGTGGCACTGACTTTGGACTGAAGCATCCAAGACAGAACTGGAATAACACAGATCCTGTCAGATCTGAGAACAGAAGTAAAGTAAATAAAGCTTGCCATTTCTCTGGCCAAATATGTCATTTTAAAGCACAATGTACTAAAAGTTCTGCTAGTAAAAATTACATGTGTGCAGCTTTAAAAAATCATCTCAGTAAGGAGGATAGAAGTGTAGTTGATTTTCAGCAACATGAACCTTCTATAGGAGTGCTTATTGAGGATAAACCCTGTGTAGCTTTGCTAGATTCAGTAAGTAATCGCACTCTGGTTAGACAGGACAGTCTTCCGAGGGATGTAATATTTTCAGGAGCAATAGTTGATGTTTGTTGTATCCATGGTGACAATGTACCTTATCCTATTGCTGAGGTTTCAATTGAAGTTGAAGGTCAGAGTTACACCCTTTCAGTGGGAGTACTGCAAACACTGCCATATCAAGTGGTGTTGGGCCGTGATCTCCCCATACTGACAGAGCTAATAACCAGGCATTCCTGTCGGGCTGAAGTTAGTGAGAGTTTGCTAGCTATCACAAGGTCAAAGTCTGAGAAGCGACAGGATAATTCTTCCGGTTGGGATGAGTTACCTTTTGCAAAGGAGAGTGTTCTATTGAGTGAGGTTAGCGTTAGCAAAAATGTGAGGAAGACCAAAAGGGCGAGAAGACGTGAAAAGGTCAGAGGAACAAAAATAGCCGGGCACAATTTAGAACCTTTAAAGTCTGAAGGTCTTCCCATTTCTAGTGATGTTGCTAAGCTACAGAAAGCAGATCCAACACTTACACCTTTGTTTGCTAAATGTGTTCATGAGTCAACTCTAGTTACGGGCAGAGAGGAAGTGTTTATGGTTAGGGGGATCTGTTGTATCGCCGCAGCAGGATTGGTGACCAGTTGGTGATCCCACAGAGTTTGAGAATGTTTTGAAAATGAGTCATTCTATTCCCTGGGCAGGACATTTGGGGCAATCTAAGACATTTTCTAGAATGGTTCCCAAGTTTTACTGGCCCCAAAAGTTCACTGACACAGTAAAATACTGTAAAGCTTGCCCACAGTGTCAACTAACAGCTCCAGACAGAAAATCTGATAGGGCTCCACTAGTTAGTATGCCTATCATTGATACACCATTTTCATGCATTGCTATGGACATAGTTGGACCTTTAGAACGGACTAAGGCAGGTTATAAATACATACTTGTGGTCTGTGACTATGCCACAAGATATCCTGAAGCATTTCCCCTGAGGAAAATAAAGGCTCGTCAGATTGTAAACTGTCTTATACAGTTGTTTTGCAGAGTAGGAATCCCTAAAGAAATCATCACAGATCAGGGCACCAACTTCACTTCAAATCTGCTTAAAGAGGTCTACAGTCTACTGGGAATTCAATGTGTCAAGACCAGTCCCTATCATCCACAAACAGACGGTCTTGTGGAGAGATTCAACAAGACCTTAAAATCAATGCTCAGGAAGTTTGTGAATGATACAGGTTCAGATTGGGATCAATGGCTTCCATTTCTTCTGTTTGCCTACAGA